TTTTTTTTTTTTTTTTTTTTTTTTCGTCCCTTTGGCAAGAACAATTCTCGTTCGCTTCCCTTACCACGATGTGGTTTTCCACAAAGAGTATGACTGTGTGCACATGTGGGATGGTGTGCCTTCTCCGCCATTACTTTTGTTACTTCGCATGGATTGTCGCGCACCCACATTGGTCACTAAGTCCGAGGGTTCTAGGCAATTATCTCTGCTTCGTTCTGCTTTGTTTGGATTATTTGTTGGGAGGATAACCGACGGGGGGCAATGTTCCCGCAAGTTTTTTTTTTCCAAATTGTGGCAAAAACGGTCATGCCCCTTTTTTCGTGCACTTTCGAAAGGACGATTTAGAAAAATTCGACGGGGGTGAACAGGTCAGAAAAGAAGGGAGACTCCTACGCAAAGCACGAACGGAAGCATGTGTACGCGGAGCGCGGAGAATAGTGAAAATATGCGACTCTACAAACGATTAAGTGATGGGAACAACTTGTTTGTCATTTTTTCTTGCCCGTTTTGCAAAAGGGTGTTAATAAAATAAGGAGCATATAATGCGCACCGCTTTTTTGGTCCACGTCCCAGGACAGTGGCAGTCTTTCCATTAAGCCCTTTCGCGGACGACTTCGTTTCGTGGGTGCTTCTCAACTCCGTATTGGAAGGGAGATGCCAGAAACTTAAAAGTTTTTTTCTTTTTTGTAAGCATAAAAAGGTGTAGGCGAAGGTACCTACGTATGTAGACGCGCGTGGGGGGCGCGACGGAGAAACGAAAAAAAAGGATAAATGGGAAGAAGTAAGGAGACACGCAACGAAGACGGCAACGTGAACGGCAGCGTGAGCCGCAAACCAAACCGTGGGATACCCACATGCATACGCACTGCGCATCGGCACACCCCCGCGCGGTCACTCCAGGTCGAGTTGAATTCCGTAGAGGGAGACGCCCTGCTCCTTGAGCTGCTTGGCGACCTCGTCGACGGAATAGAAGGAGGACTTTATTTGCGGCTCCAGTGTCTTTAACTTGTTCTCCAAAATCTCGATTGCCATTTCTACGACCTGTTCCGGTGGCATCGAACCAACTGATTCGACCTTAAAATGAAACTTAGTCTCATCATAAATTACTTTTACGACGTCTTTGTATCCCAATTCGTTAAGCAACTCGATACAACTCTCTGCCATAACGACGGACATATTTTCATTTAGCCTTAAAGACACATCTCTATCATGAGCATCGGCATTTTTCAAAACGTAGCAGTTTTTGGTCAGGCTATTGGCTAGCAAAAGTTTATGTTCCACCGATAGAGAATTGATTAGGTGGTGTTTGATGGCAACCTTGTGGTCTATTCTGTAGGACACATTTGCAGGTATCCACTTGGCATGCATTTTTCCGATTCCTTTCGTGGCGATTAACTTCACATGTAAGGTTTGATTTTTAGACAGAGTAACAATTGGAATGGCATTACTCTCACCCATTTTGTTGTTTCTATCTTCGAAGGGGACCGGCATAGGGACGTTTGGTTCGTGATCCACAGACTCGATGTCAAAATGAGTTATATCTATTTTGCTAACATTGTTGCACTTCACTTGGATCAAATACTGGATGGTGCACTTTGAGCATGTCTCCTTACATTTACATTTTTCTCTGAATTCAAAATTTTTCACATTTGTACTATCGATTGGTATTAAGCCTAATCTGTGTGCTAGGAATTCATCGTGGAAGGGACTCGTGTTTTCGTACACATTGACCACGTCGATGGCGAGCGTTGGGATCTCCGACAGCATGATTCTTCGCAGCGCGTTCGCCATCCCGGTGTTGCTGTTGTGCAGCACAAACGTCATTTCGTCCTTCGTCAGCTTCGTGATTTCCACTTCGTGCCGGTTCGCGGCGTCCTTCGCTGCGTGCGCGTTCATCGTGCGAACAGGAGGGGGGAGGAAACGAGACGGTAGCACACAGCGGTGCCAGAGTGACAGCCGATTGGCGGCGAAACGGCCGCGACGTGGCAGTGAAATCGTATGCGCCGCTAACAAAGCAATTCCTTCCTGCTGCCAAGTTGCTGCTCCCCCCCCCTGCTGCTACACGCATAGCCTCTTCCTTGTAGCGCTTTCTCCAACGCCTGCACTCAGTGCCGCGGTTTTGGAAAAAAAAAAAAAAAGCAAGCCAAACCAAATGAAGCGAAATCTCAAATCTAGCCAAATCAAATCATATAAAATAATAATAGGGACGATGCGACACTATAAAAATAGCCTCGTCGGCCCCAGCGTTGACTCAACTTAGAGAGAATCAACCAGATTGTTAGCAGAATTGCGAGGTGGCAGTGCTCCCCGTTTTAAGCGTTCACACGATAGGGAAAGCGCCATTTTTTTTTTTTGCGCAACTGGCATGTCGTTTTCAACAAGGGGCACCGCCCGACTCCGTATCGCTCGCAGTGCTGTTGGGGGAGTTGTGGAGCCGCCCACGGAAATATCACAAAAATGGGCGGAAAACAGGGGCGGCAGAAATATGCGGCAAAAATAAGTACCAATAAATGTAACATAAAGCTCGCAGCAACAAGTGGGAAGTATGCCCGCAAAAATGTGGAGCCTCTCCTCCGTGCCGCGACCTCATGAGGCAAAAACAACAGTTTTGTGAAATCTTACCGTGGCTCATAAGAAAGAGGGCGCCTTTGAAGTTCGCGCCGTGGGCGACGGGGTACCAATAGATATGGAAAGGTAGAACTAAAAAAGGGACACGCAAAAATGCACCCATTTGTGCGTTTTGCGCCTTTTCTCACGGAAATAAAAATAGCGAGGGAACACAATAGGGGTAACCGAGCCGCTATAGGGCTCCCCTTTTTGCCAAGGGAGGCGTCACGGCCGAGTGGGCCTAAAGGAGTCGTAGTGCACTGGGCTGGTGTAAGCCAGAAACACGCACTTCTTGTATTCCCCCTCGGTTCGATGCTTGGACTCGTATTTCAAATGCCAGTTGTCCGCAGTGGACGTGATAATATAAACAACGCAGTCAAAGGCATCTGCCGTGGCCTTGATACACAGCTCGTCCCCCCAGTAGCCATTCTGAGACATCTTTTCTGTGTAATCGTAAAAGCTTCCCTCCTCAAAATAAATGGAAAACTCCTCCTTACAATTCAACATATGCTCCACACACCTTCTCCGTACATACATATGATACTTTTGTTCGTTAAATAAATTACAAGAAATGGATCGAAAGAGACAGTTGCCATCTCCTGGGATTTTAATCAGCTCACAGTCCACTGCCATGAGTCTTCTTTCCAAAATTGTTCGTCCACATTTGTAATTTGTTTTGTTTATTATGCTGTTTCTTTTTAAAAATGAGATTCTTCTATCGAAGGTGCTGTATCGTTTCATTTCTTCCGTCCGTTTTATTTTCTGCATGTCTGTCAGCAGCTGTGTTAGATTTTTTATGTTCATGGTGGTAGTCAGCTTTCTTTCCATTTGTTCGTCTCGCTCGAGGGTGTCGGAGACTCTCAGGCGGCTCGTCATGTGTCGGTACCGCAGGTCGCGCAGCTTCCCGCCGCAGCAGACATCCATGGTGCGGATGGAAGCGCAAACGGAAGTTACGGAGGGGCGACAGAGAAAGCGACGGACGAAGCCTCTGCATAGGCTGTTGCACAGGCTGTGTGGCCTTATCACGATGGTTGCAATCGTCGCTATCCTCACAGCGGTGCCGCAGTGGCTCGTACAAGCACACGTGATTCGCCCGGGACGCCCATCTTACCCACGCGGCACAGACATGCATCCCTCCCTCCCCCAGCTAGCACCCCTTCTTTTACCACATAACGAAAAATTGATTCATGTGCCTATTCAAGCGGTTGGCGCGATTCACACAGAGGGGTTACTGCCATCCGGGAAGTCAAAATTGATGAACAGAAAAAAAAATATATATATATAAAAATAAAATACGATACAATAAAGTTAAAATAAAATATAAAATGACAAAACGGGTACTTCAATAGAGACGCATGATGTAAACGTTCTTGCCTGTGCGGAATAGCCCCAAATTGGAACAGAGGGCCACTCGGGGGAAATTTTCCGCACCATGGCGTTAAGCGCCGTTGAGAGATGCTAAACGGCGCCGAGGTGGGTCGACAGGTGCCCCTTTTTTTAACTCCGCTTTGCCTGCACTGTGCGAGGGGAGGGAGTTGCTTCTTCCCCGTTTGTGCCGCTTTCCTGTGCAACTTTTTTCTGCTGCTTTTTCCTGCGCGCCATTTTTGAACTCCATCGTCCGTCGTGTAGAATCCTCAACAACCATCAGCTGACTCCCCCAATTGGAACTCCTGTTTGAGAAGCGCATTAAAATTTCCACTCAGCGTGGTTGCGTTGGGCTCTCTTACATATATGCTCCTCGATCCTTCTGCCGGTTCACAGCTGGTGAGAGTGACCCTCAAGGAGACTTCTCCCATCGGTATGCTTATCGGTGGTTTTGTCCCCCTTGTTATGATCCCTACGCCAAGCTCTCGAGACAGGATTGAAGCCTTTTACGCTGCTCCGAAGGGTTGGTCATGGAGCGGTGTAGAGGGCGATAAAAGCCAATGAGCCTTTTAAAAGAACACAACAGTGTTAACCCGTTCTACGTGCGATGCTTCGTGAGGCAACCACAATGTCAGCCAGCCGCTTAAGAAGGGGGAGTGGCATTGGGGGGGTGCCCGCACAGAACCGTTTCCATAACGGTCATAGAACGGTTGTAGGTCGCTTCCATAACGCTTCTCGAAGGCGCCCTGCTCCTCCCCTTCCGACGCAAGATGAACCCGCGGGCAAACAGGCTCCTTTTGCAGGGGTCCATTTTCTGCGCCTGCGCAGTGTTCCTGGGCTGGAAGTACAGGGACGCCCCCCTTTTTCGAAAAGTGACAAATATCTTAAGAAGATGCCTCCGCTTGAAAAGTCAAAGGAACATTGAGACAAACGACCAAATTAGGGACAACGTGAAGATCTACTTTGGCAGCCAAGGAGGAACGGCGGAGCAGTTTTCCAAAGAACTGA